TCTAGTGCTGACTAGTAAGGATAGCAATGATTAATCATTTAGTTGACTAACTGTGCACATCCCTTGTATTATATAACTTACATTGAAATTAATTTGAGTGGACTATTACAGATGTTGATTTGTTCCTCGCTGGTCTGTGTTAACTTCTGCATCAATGAACAAATGAATTTTCTAAGAATTCTGGTTCATTTGAAACAACTTGTTTGCAGCATGTCTACAATTAGCTGTGATTTATTGGTTAAGAAAGAAATGAAATCTGTGAAGCACTAAGTTTGGGATTGACCTGTTTGTTTCTTACTTTCAGTACAATTTTTGTAATTAACTTGTTGTTAACAGAAGAAATGGCATTTTTTTGGGACACCCTACTTCTTCCTTTACTTTTTCCTCCTTTAAGTGCTACCATGCAGCATCATGACTAATATAAATGTATCTTTCTGCCGGTGACCTGATTACACCTGCAGTGTTCATTTGCACTCACAGAGGACCAGTAGCTGTTGTAAGAAAAGGCGTCACGGTATTGGGCTGAATTATCAGTTGAAATTCCATTATTGGAACGACACTATGAATAATTTCGGTTTCTCATTTATCTCAGGATAATACATCAGCCACCAGTTTATAAAGAACATTCCTGTCCTGATGCTTGTCTTTTAAGTAAACACACTGAGAGTCAGAATACTCAAAATGCATTTATTTAAGTTGTTTGTGGGTGTCTCTGTCTGTTTAGGTTTCTTACAGTTTTGTATGTCAACATTAGGTTGACATTTGCTGTTGTGATTAAACCATGTGTGCATGGGGACACACACAGCAAGACTAACAGTTGTGCGGGCATTTAATTTCTGAGTAAAAAATGATCTTGAGCCTGAGGAATCAAGGTCACAGTGTGTCCCACTTCTTCTCCGGGCTGCTTTGTTTGCCTCAGAGCACAGCCGAACGTTTAGTTGAAACCAGATAGAGAATGCTGGATGTCAGCTACTTCTATACATCCCACCGTGGCTACTATCCGCATGGGGTCCCAGCGCACACCTCTCTCTATGTCTTTGTTTCTGGATCATGTCGTGTCACAACAGTGAGGATTAAAACAAAATGGCTAATTAGCTCAGGTCTACAGTATGTTTCAATATGGCGCACCAGGCTGTCACAAGAAGAAAACAAGAGGCTTCTGTAATCCCTCACCATCATGGTGTGTCTGTTTTTATCTGTGGTCTTCCCTCTGTCCCCTCTCTCTGCTCCCCTGAAAACCATCTGCTAGTTGGGTCTGGATCATAGTCCTGCTGTGTGGGTATTTTGCATTTATTGGCAGTGGGCTAGTGACCTTTAGAAATCTCTCTTCACTGATTGGCTGTGTTCAATTTTGTCTTTGGTTTGTGTATGGTTTTAGGCCTACATATTCTGCAGAGCCTGGTGAAATATGGACTTAATACCAATATTGTTATCAATCAAATTAGGTATTAGATGGAATTTTGGTGACGATAATGTCAAGACACCACATAGTTTCGTCTTTTCCTGGTCTAATATACTGCATTACAGATAAGTGACACACTTTTCATTTGCAGTTCAGTAAAAGGTACATACAGTGAAAGAACTGTCTCTAACTACTCATTCAGTGTCAATGTTTTGTTTTTCTAAAGTTAAACTAGTTAAAGGAAATATAAGTATTCAAAATGCCTTTTGAAAGTACAAATAGTTATTGCCAACATGTTGTTAAGATACTGTGAAGACTCACTGGAAGAAGAGATCTATCTCAATGGGACCTTCCTGGCTTAATAAGGGATAAATAAAATAAATCCACACTTTCCAGTGATAGATAACCAGTTCAGTCAACCAATCAGCCCGTGGTCAAGTCCAGAAGGCTCTTATGGTGGTAAAACTATAAATTAGGACATAAAAATCAGACATGACCGACTGCATGAGCCTGTATTTTCTGTTTAGAGTACCTCATGTTGACAGGGTTGTCCTTGATAAAACATCATGTGGTGCACAGAAATATTTCTTACATTATTCATTATCAAAGTTATGCATGACATCAGACAAATCTTGCCACACATGTAAAAGAAAAACTTAAGTCACTAATTTAGTTAGTTTTTAATTACAGTGTGCTTTGAATCATTACAGGATATGATCATACTGTCACCCTACCATACCACTAAAAGTCAATAAATGGTAATACTGAATTATCACCAAGCTCTGACCTTTAATATTTCTGTCCTTCTGTACCTTTCTCTCGTGCAGAGCTAACCTGCTCTGCCAAACAGAATGCCGTCTGCAGGGGCCTCCAGTCTCACTGCTGAGCTAATTAACAAGGTGTGAGGGTGTGTGCATGTGTGTGTTTGATAGGTCTTGCTGTGTTTGTTTGTGTGTGTGCATTGTGGCTGCCTACTGCCAGGTCACCAGGTCTGGGCTGAGGCTGTGCCAATGCAGGTAAAGGGCTGTTGTCAACACGCACATACACACACACACACACACACACACACACACACACACACACACACACACACACACATACCAACAAACACACACACATACAGATTCAGCAGAAAAACAGAATCCCTGTGTGAGGGCAGCCCTGGGGAAACACTTGCATGGATTCTCTTGGAAAAGGCAGGACCGCATTCTAGTGTTTTTGTATGTGTGTGTGTGTGTGTGTGTGTGTGTGTGTGTGTGTGTGTGTGTGTGTGTGTGAGTAGGGGGTCAGGAGGTAGAGGCTCAGCTGCTGCTACAATATATTCCCTACTGAACGTCAGCCAATTAAAAGTGTCTTTTAAGGTTTTGTTCCTTTGTGACTTTCTTTTTAATTTTTATGACTTTGTAGGTTAGAATCGGACATTTTAAAAGTGAGCTAAGGGATGGAATCTAATTCAAGGTCATGTCCTACATTATAAAATAGTATCAAAAAAATAAATGACTAGAAATGAAATGACTAAATGTCCACAAATACCTCCTCAGTCTAGTTGTTGTGAAATCCTTGTGATGGCTTACTGCCTCTTAAACAAATGTTGTTGAGTTATGTTAGCAAAAAGTAAAGCATGTATATCTGCAACATATTCACTGTGTAAATGAATCTTCTGCTACTTTGTTGTGCTGCCTATCAAAATAACAGACCTCTAACTAATAGCCAGTTCATGAAAGATCAGCTGCAACATGACTTATGTTTTCTCTTTGAAACACCTCATATCAAGAAGGTTTTTTATGCAAAAAGACATTTTTAGTTGGCAGAAAGTATGTGCTTTAGGTTGTCACCAATTTGTTTGTGGCAAAAGAAGAGCTAGGTATAGTTTAAACAACAATTGTAAGAGCACCACAGCAGTCATTGCTTACATACTGTACACATTAGCAGCGTAAATCACAAGTTTCATCAAGATACATTATTTTTTTCAATTCTACGGACAATAATACGATATTTGCTGATATAACAATTTCGATTTGATTCAGGGCCCTGCGATTGAAATGAGATGTCTGTAAATATCCTCATTGTCTTTTTCTTTGCTGCCTACCACTGTCTGCCTGGCGTCAGGCCACCAGCACTGTTTGAATGTTTTGGAAAGAGGTGCGCTTGAACAGAAATGGTGACACAGACATGCCATGGAAATTTCAAAATAAAGGCGTATCTTAAAGATGATGATGTATCAATGTGCTTTGCTTCACTATACTATTGAATTGTGGATCATTGAATTGAACTGAATATATCACTCCACATAACATGTACAGTAGGCCTGCTCGATTGTGGCAAAAATTATTATCCTGATTATTTTGGTTGGTGTTGAGATCCTGATTATTTAACATGACATTGAGTTACAATTTTTTTGTCTCTCAAAAGGTCGATTTTCTTGAACTTGAGTCCTTAATATAATTCTACTGAAAAACAGGCTCAAGGTGAACTAAACCTGCCACAGCCTGGCTGAGAGTAAGTTTGGGCTTTTAGGGAGGGGCGAAAGCGCACTGTATTAAAGGAAAAGAGCACGCTGGATTCATAACACAACACAGGAGCATCTACGCGAAACAGATTTCAGCCCAATAATTGTTTCATCTCAATGATCTTTTTTTCAGAATTGTTGAAAGCCAAAGTCGTACATGAAAATTTAATTATTAATCGTCCAGCCCTACCATACTGTATATGATCATACCCAACATATAGGAAATATGACTAATAAATAAGCTGATGTTGTTACCTTTCATGTTAGCTGTCACTAGTCTTGGTGCTAAGCTAAACTAACCAGCTGCTGATAACAGCATCATCATCATTTTTTCTTTAGTGCTAAGTTGTCACTACTGTGATGTTTTTGCACTCTGAGTAAGATAAATAAACGTCATCTTTTCCATCACACATTGCAGTTTTGAATAGTAAATAAACAAAGCGGTTGTTATACAGAAGGGAGCATTAATAATGGTATTCAGCTGGCAGATATGAATGCAGTCACAGATGTGAGCTATCAGCAGCAGCATGTGACAGAGGATGACTCAGCCAATCAGAGCAGAGTGCTGCTGCCTCCAGTTTCACAAGCTGTGATTATCTCCTCGGTGGCTACCTCCGCTTCTCCTGCCTCGCTCCCTCCATCGATTTATCTTCTCCTCTGTATTCCCTCCCCCTCCTCCCCCATCTCCCCTGTCACTCCTCCTCCCTGCTTCCTTCCTCAGCGCCCTGCATCCTCTGAGTTTATCCTTTGAAGTCATTTGTTAAGCTCTCCTCTGTCCCCCCTCAGGAGCTCCTTTCCTGCACTGAAGGTGTCCGGGGAGTTTTTATAAAGTTAGGATTCTCTGGAAGCTTGTTTGTGTGTTATTTCCTGAGACTTTGATTCTGTAGTTTATTGTCAGGGGGCAGAGAAGAGGCTGAATATAAACACCTCACAGATTTTTACAAGGAATTCAAAAGACATCCTTGAGGTTAAAATCCCAAGCACTTAGACTGTGACGTGGAGGAAATGAAGGTCAAGTGAAGGAAAAGTATTAATGCCATCTTCCTCTCTAATGCCGCTCTACTTCTTTTTCTCTGCCTCTTTTTATAGATTGCTGTGAATCTCTGAGTGAAGATGGCCCTCTTTAAGAACAACTTCTGGGTAAGTGTCATCTTGAAAACACCTGGAAATGAGTCAGTATAATGATGTATATTATGCAGATGGACATATGCCATTGATGGCTACATTGATCGGTCTTTTACATCTTAAGCCACATATTACTTATTCACCTGTTACAGCTGAATCACAACCATGAGTCACTGAGCTTTTCATTTATATTCTCAGCCAAGCAGCCGAGCCTCCGGCTCCCTGCTGCTCGTCAGGGATGCACAGGAAGCGCTAGCTGTCTCCCTCCTCCACTCACTTGCAAATAATAGAGATCGATTTTGTATTGAGCAATCTGCTTACTTTCTGCTACATGGGGAGCAGTGTCATAGAGATAATTCTTGTTGGCAGAGACAGTATCACTTTCTGCAGTATTAATAATGTAAAAGGCTATTTTCTGGAGCAGTTTCAAATGCTTTTAACGTAGCTGTTACTTATTTCAGGGAAATTCTTAAAGCTAAATCCTTTTACTTGTTTGGTATAACTCTGTGGTCTCTAATATGTGTAACATAGTTTTGTCATTAGGGCCAGTATGATACCTGCATTTCAGCACCACACCATAACAGTACTTTAGTTTGGGCATTATAAACTTGTTTGAACAATCTAGGGCTGCACCTGACTCAGAATTATGTCAGAAAAATCAGATTTGGCTGCTCAGTACAAATATTAGACAGTTCTTTTTTACCCCCTCCATATAAAGTTTTAAAGTTTGAACAGGCTCAGTGCGACAGTGGCATTCAGGTAATATGGTAAACAAGCTAAAAGTGCTAATCATGGATCAGAAATGTTTGCCAACACTAGATATCAAACAAAGGCCAGACAGACACTGTGTCCCATTAGGTTACTATGAGCTATAAGTTCACCACCTCTAAGCAGAAGAGAGAGAGGAGAAAATGTTATCTCGAAGCCTAATGGGGCAGAGTCTCTCCTTCTTTGTGCTGCTGCATCGTGTCCCCAGCTATGTGTACCTAAGAGCAGCATGAAAGTCAAGAGTGCTCACCCTGCAGCGAAGTCTGGGGACCAAAACGTCCCCAAAAGTACACTGCAAAGCACACTAACAAAAAACAACAACCAAAAAAATCTGACTGCTGAACTTGAAGCAATTTCAGTCGACAAAGGGGTCTCCGACTGATGATTAGAATCTCTGACTTTCAAGCGGCAGCTCTAGAGGAAGTTTTGTACTTTACAAGAATACACCAAACTGCTTAATGTGTTAGGGTTAAACAAAAAACTCTACAAAAACAAAATCTAGTAGTCTAAGGTTTGAAAAAAAAAACCCTAAAGGTGTGTTCAGACAACAAATTTGACCTCTAGACCGTTTGTGTTTGGTCACCTCAAACAGCCAAAATATCAACTGTACCTACGTTTACTGTAAGCTAGCCAGAAATGGAAGCTTTGTCCATATGTGTGGGAGTTTAGCTGTGTTTGTTTGTGCTCCGTTCAGCCTCTGACCGACCCGAGAACTCAACAGAAACTCCCACTCTTTCTGATATTCTCCTCTGCTCTCTTTACATTTCTCCTGTTGTCTTTGTACTTTTATGACACACATTCATAAAGCCCCAGAATAAGTTCAGATTTTACACTTAAGTTCGATTCACACCACAGACATGTCTTTATGTCAGTTTGCACCACACCAGGTAAAATTAAGCTAATCGCATGTTTCCATTGATTTTTTTTTTTTTTTTTTTTTTTAAACACAATCAGGCTTACTCTAACATTTGCAATCAGTGTCAACTTGCCTGTGTGTCGCCAATACGACACTTTTCTATGGACATATTTCTGTCAGTGCTCAGAAAGTGTTCAGCTTTGATACCCAGCTCTAGTCTCTGTCTTTGCAAAGACACAGTTTTAGAAAACACAGAAACTCAAACACATAGTATGGCAGAAAGTTGATCCTGGCTCCTGATGTTTCCATGTGTCCCCCCAGATTTCCTATGTATTAATATTCTAACCGTATAATCAATCATGACCATAGAGTTGAATCAACATCTCTCTAATACAATGTCAACCAAAAGTTTATCATCATGAGCCCTGTTAAGTTAGGATTTCTTATATGCTGTGAGAATGCTTTAGATTTTGCAAGTGTCCCTATTAAACTGGTAACACCATACCGCAATGCTTGTCAATATTGGCATTAATTAGATTCATTTGTGCAGTAATCAATGGCCTCATTAGCAACTTTTTATAGTTGTGTTAAGTGGAGGAGGGATATCTCTCTTTCATCTCCCCCCAACACCACCCTCATCCCCCAGTGACTTTGTCAGCTGTTATAAGGTCTCTTTCCCTCCCTCATTTTTTCCTCCATCCTCACTTTCTCCTCTTCGCTTTGTCCCTGCACACCTGGTTCATCTATTTCAGGTCCGCCCTACTTCTTACCTTGCCTCATCACACTCTGAAAAGTCCTCAGTAATATTTTAGTAGTTGAACTATAAAGTGAAGTGCTCTGAGTTTTAATTCAGACACAGAAATTAAATTCAGCTTGGGCAATGAGCAAATGTAACCACAAGGATTTTTAGAACATATAAGGTTGTTATATAAGAGTATTTTTTTCCCCTTACTGAGCCTGTATCCAGGTTTTTGTACCTGAGGCCAAGAAATGGTTGTCTGTCAATGTCAGCATCCCGCAGAATTAAGCTGATTAGAAAAGTGGAGTTATTCATAATTAAAGGTTAAAGCAAGACACAGTAAGACAATGGTACTCAGAACACTCTGTTTGTGGTTATGCATGTGCGTCTTTGATTAATGAATAATATTGTGAGCTTTGTAATTGTGGCTGTTGGTGTCTTTGTGCAGTCGTGCAGTGTTTTTTTAATGTCTATTTTATTGCCTGCATCCCTCTGTGATCCATGGATATTGCAGTCTTTGTGCTGCAGGCAGAGTAGCAGACAAGCAGGTCTGCAGGCACAGAGGCAAGTGGAAAAAGCAAAATGAGAGCAAACTGGCGGGGAGGGAAGCAGGCAGACAGAGTCATGCAGCAGAATTTCAGCCAGGCAGACAGACGAGGCTGGAGAACTGCTGTGCTTCTGTATCACAGAGACGATTAAATTTTAGGCTTTGTCACAGCTCCTGAAATACACCTACTTTTTTTTTTTAATCATTTAAGCTTATATGTGTTATTTGTGTACCTTCATGTACTGTACATATTCATAACCATGTTTCCCATCCAGCCTTCTTTCACACACAAATAGCTGTGTAATACAAACCCTTCAGTTAATTAGGCAACACAGCCGCTCGGGAACATGCCGCACACACAGAGCCTCGTCTTGAACAAGAACATTCACGGACGCTCACAAAAGCCTCCTCATAGCCCGCCGTCCTTTCCCATTAACTATGTAAGAGCTGCGGTCATGGCCCACAGGGGGACCATCAGCTATAATTAAGTACATCTTTAGTAATTTAAGGCTCTGTTAAGTCTCAGGAATAGAAATTCTTAAAGGATTAGTGCTGTTTAGTTATTCATGGAATTTAGAGTTTTCATTTTCAGAAACAATTTATGCAACACATCACAATTTGCTCATGAGAGATGATGGGGAAGGTCAGCAGTTTTTTTCATATATGATAAAGGAGGCTCATAAAACTCACTACTGTGGTATCACTATTCTCTGAACTCATCAAGAATGGATAGTCACCCAATAAAGTGGGTACATGCCTCAGGTCCTGGACTCTTATGTCTCCAAAGGCTGCAGGTCTACTGTAGTTTGGGGTCATTTGATTGCCTGGAAATATGGGAATATGCACCGCACACTGTTGGTATTATGAAATCTGCTGTAAGCCTGGTTCCATACTAGTGCTGCACGATTTGATAAAAATGTGCGATTTTAGTGGACAATATTGCGATTTGCGTTAGCAATTACAATTCAGTTGTCTCTTTGTCTTTAACGTTACTTGGCTTGGCTTTCACTAGCATGCATTCTTCGTTCTTTTCTCTGTGCTGTCTCAAGTGTTTGGTTGTGTTTCCGCGGCACGTGGCGACTTTAACCTTGCAAGTTTTACACAGCATGTCTGCCTGTTCAACGTCGCCGTACCTGGATCCAAAATTTCTATAGATGTTGCGTTTTTTCCACCACCAACTCAGCCTGTTCATGGTCATGCTCATGCTCCCTCTTCAGCGTCCATGTTGGTCACTGCTGCATGCCGGGTGGTCCCCTGAACATACTTGCTGCACACACCAGGGTAGCTTGTGGACATAATGTCAACAAACTCCACACACTATAGGAGACGTCACGTTCACAGGCATACATGTTAACATTTATTTACATGAAATTGCAAATCACAGCCTTTTATGCGGTTATGTAATCGCACAGCCTGACATCACGATTGCAACTGCGATTAGATTAATCATGCAGCACTATTCCATACCCCTGAATCTGATTTGTTTAGAGACTCAAATAAGTCTGGTGTTGTGCCTATTAATGGCTGCCTCCTTAGTCTGGAGAAACAGATGACCAATCAGAGCGTAGTAAGCGGGATTCAGAATGGAGACATTGTCTTTCCATGAAAATTTTAAACTGAAGAATGGTGACTGAAATGACAACACGTGTTTATTGGACCGATGCAGCTGAAGTTGTTGTAAGTTCACTTACTGAATTAACAACTCTTAAATCGGCTGGATTAACAGTCCTTAGCAAGGCTTCTCAGCTTGTGTGTTGACTGAAAATGAAGTTGGCAAGACAAATACATCACTTGCTGCTCATTGTCTAGTGCAAAACAAAAGAAAAAATCCTACCCTATTAGAATTTGGCTGACATGAGCTCAGTGACAGAAACAGAAACAGAAACAATTTGTCTTCTGATTTGCCATTCGCACTGGTCCTGTTGGGTCATCAAAGGCAACAGGACACAGAGTATAAACAATGCATCAGAGGTCAATTCATTCTGACATCTTAGATGCTGTATGTTATTGTTTATTGTCCTTAATACTGGTGTATAATCAATAAAATGATTTGAGAAAGAAAGAAACGATGCAAAGAAAATCTAAAATAAAGTCAATAGCAGCCA